TTGTCGGTCACTCGTTACCTCGTTTGGCACGCCATTACGACAAACTTTCTTCACTTGCACAACTTCCTAGAAATCATTCAAACTCAACACAATTAATTATACTTGATTACGGGCAGCACATCAATCAATAAATCCTTAACCTAGTGTCATAATTTTCATCAACATTATTCACAAACATTTAACTCACAATCCAATACAACACAATGTAATTACATTGCATGTTTACCTTTTGGTTTTACCTTGAGTTCCACACATATAGCTCACAATTTCCTCACATCCATGGTCATCGTTGTTGGGACAAACATGAACAGTTAGCACACATCTCATTTCTCTTGTTTACTTGTGGTTTCAAGACCAAAATACTTTCATATTGTTTATCTGCCTCAAAATCACCATCCATTACAATATCCACCTACATGCATGCATCTATTTCTTTTAATTCTTGGAAGACCTTTGCTGCGACAACATTTTCACACAATTACCAACTCATTTCCTCAAGAAATTCATAACCAAAATCAAAGTTCTACTTACCTTCCTTAACTTGGAACCACTAGGTCAAACCTTCTCTATTTTTCTTCTTTCTCCTTTCTTTCTTTCTTTTTTTCTCTTTTCTTCCTTTCTCACTTTGCTTCTAAGCTAATCCTTTCTCTTTTTCTTTCCAAGGGTGTGGGTTTTCTCAAGGAAAAATCATTTTGCCATTCCTTAGTGTGGGCGGATTCTCCCAAGTTCCCCACACTCAAATTTCCTTTCCTTTCTTCTCTCACGGGCAGATTGCCCAAAGTTTGGTCGTTTTGTCATTTTCCTTTTACTTTCATGTGGTTAAAATCACAAGGTAAAAAAGCCTTGGAAACCTTTTCACCTGCCACCATTATTGTCCATTCTTTTTCCATTATTTTCTTTTATTTCCTCTTTACAAGTCATGCCAATCAATTCTTCTCTTTGTTATTATCACTACCTCCTATTGGTGGCTTGCTCATGCAATGTTTCCTTTTATTTCATTTGCCTTACATTTCACTTGTATTTTATTGCATTTCATTTTCATTTTCATTTAATGCCACCTTACCACCCAATAATATTTCATGCGATGATTATACCTTTTCCTTTTTAAATCACATTACCATCCTTATGTTGTTTACTATGGGCTATCTTTGCCAAACCATGGTTTTCTCTCATTTAAATACTTTTTATTCCTTTTTCTCTTAGTCAACTATCACATGGTAGGGTCTCACATGTTTCCAACTAACTTCCTCCTTTTTGCATGCAATAATTTACTTGTAATAGTAACTTTTACATGTATATCTCATATTCCTCATAATCTACCCTTCCTTGGTTAGTAAATGTCTATTTAATTAAAATTACACATGTCCTCAAACTTTTCTTTATTTACCATTTAATCCTATAAACTTTCATCTTTTACAATTTGATTCTTCTAACATGTTTTAGATTCTAATTTTCTTTTAGCTTCCTTCCTTTACATGTGTACAAACAAAATATAAAATTTACACTTTACCAAGGTATCACCATAATATTTAAATATATACTTATCCGAGCTAGCTTTATTTAATAAAAGCACGCGAGTCGCACTAACGTCATTTTTCTTCTAAATTCTTTCTTACTTCTTCTCCCCCACTTAGATTAACTATATACTTCTTCTTCATGACTAATTTCGACAATAGTTAAAATATTAATATTTTAATATTATTTTATTAATAACATTTTATTTTATTCCAAAATTTTTCACTTCTCCTCTAGACCCAAAATGTCTCACTTTGTCCTAGTTTACCTCTGATTCACCTTTTAACTTGCTAATTCATCCTCGATAAAAATATTATTATTTAATTACTATTTTTTCGTATATGAAATATTATATTCCAAACTATTTCTTTCACCCTTCATCACTCTTAAACACTCTAATTAACTTCAATTAGTATTTGATAAGCTCTATTAGCCACTATATCCGAGTACGATGTGTTACAGTGTTCTTCTTCTGCTCTACACCATCCACCACCACAAAGGCCACCTCAACATTTTTCCATGTCTCAAAAGATGGAAAAGCTTAAACTTTGAATGAATCACTATATAGCTTGTATGTAGTCCATTAAGTAGATGATGTGTGATTATGCTAAGCATGTTGGTATGAATATGGCTTCTTTTCCTACTTTGCCAGATGATCTCACAGTGGAAGACCAAAATGATGATGAGGAGGAAAATGATCTCTAGAGGTTGATCGTCAATCAAGGGAGTACTCATTTTCTTTACTTTTCATAACATTGGGGAAAATGTTATTTTTAAGTATAAAGGGGAACTTTTAAATTTAGTCTTTATGTTAGTAAATTTTCATTCAATTTAATGCATCTTCTTTGAAAAAATTTTCAACTAAATGTAATTTTGTTAATTTCCTCTAATATACTTATCCAATGATGAGAACTTAGTGATGCTTAATCTTGATTCTTTGAAACATAAGAATATTATTTGAGTATTATATAAATTCTTCTACTAAGCTTCATTGTTAGGATAAGATTTATACATTTTGAGCACTATGTCTTTTTCTTAGATTCATTGTATATTTAAAAAAGGCTTAGGTGAATGTGAATTTTTGAATATGTATTGAGTTTTAGAATTTGTGAGATTCTTTCTCGAGACGAAACCTTAGGCTATACTTAGTTAAGGAGATGATTTAGGTCATATTTGGACCGATTAAGCCTTTGTAGTATACCTTGACATAATATATCCTTAGTTTCCCCCCTTTTAAGCCTAATGTAACCTTTTCTTTATTTAAACAACGAATTATTAGCTTAGACCCTTGCATAAAATTTGAATCTTGCATCCCTCACTCCTAATTGCACAAGTCAATCTAAGAAATGCATGAGCTAAATAGTAAAGGAGATAGTAAGGATGAAAAGTGAGGAAAAGTTCAAAAATATAATTGTATTCATCTCACTACCCAATAAAGAATAAGTTTTAGGGTGTAATATTAAGAAAAAGAAAAAAGAAATAAGGTAGAAAAAATTTGATGAAATATTGAACACAAGAAAATTTTGATGAGAAAAGGGTATTCTAAGTGAAAGAAAATAAAGCTCTAAATAGGACCTAGATTAGCTATGTGCTTAGGGTGATTTAAGCTACATATTATTTCATATCCTACCTTGAACCTAGCCATATATTACAAGTTAATTACAGCCTCATTAGTCCTGAACTTAGTGTTGGTTTACATTAGTGGAAAGAGAGATGAAAAGTAAACTTGTGAAATTCAATTACTAATTTGAATTTTACAAGAATGTAAACTTGTCCAGATTGTATAATGCTCTAGGTGAAAAGATTGCTCACACACATGGAAATCTACTTAACAATAAGCTTGTGTTTGAATTAAAACATGAACTTGATAATATTTATGTGTTGTTTACGATTGAGAATATGGATTAACTTTCGAGGATATTAAAGGTGATTAATAAGTTTGTGCAATTGATTTCTACTTAAAAGTTTATCTTCATTTAGGTTATTTCATTTTATTTCATATTTCGCTTGAGGACTAGCAAAATCTTATTTTTAGAGGTGTGATAACTCTATTTTATAAAGTTATTTTGACACATTTTGAGAGCTTAAGTAGCTAGATCTTAGAGGTTTTATGTTCAAATTTTACTATTTTAGATGTTTTTTTTCTAGTTTAAGTTGAATTACATATTAAGTAGTTAATTTAAGTTATTTTATTTAAGTATCAATTCCCTTGAATAAGGTTTCGATACCTAAAACTTATTTATGAAAAATAAACATTTTTGAATTGATTTTTGGATGCTTTTGGCTTTCCCACTTTAGCCAAATCTTTTCAAAGGTTTTGTGTGTCTTTGAAACTATTTGAATGGTACTAAAAAATCCTCTTGCTAAATGCATAACTAAAATTTTAATTGTTGTTTTAAGAATGCATATTTGATGAACATGTACTTTTATTCAAACACTCTTCTATTATCTTGTCCACCTTCCCCTTGTCTACTCACTTAGTTTTATAACTCACAAATGTAAACTCTATTTGTTTTTCTAATTCATAACTTGTTAGGTCACCATTTGTGGAAAAGTCTCCATCCATCGTATTAGTAGGTCCATTACATTCTAATTGACTTTACTTATTTTAAGTCTGCTCTATTGGTCAAAGTCAAATTATGTTTTCTATTTGCTTGTGTTGAGGCACATTTATATATTTGTCCAATGTTTGGCATTTGTTATTTGAATATATAATGAGTTACATACTATATGGATGTTTGAGCACATTATGGTGTACTTTGTTGTCTTGCGAGACATAAACTCCATTTGATGGTTTTTAGATGATTATATATATATACATAGATATTCATCTCATGTTATTATCTTTCATCTATTGATTCTATCTATTATATCTAAGGTTTGTTGGGTTAAGTAAGCCTTGCCCATAGGGCCATTATGTTCGTTATTACCCGAATTTGGGTTGTGATAAAAAGTTTGTATACAAGGTCTATTCAATGAATACAAGGGGCATTAGAAAACTTATCTCTTCTCAGTTTTACTACTTTAATTGAAATTGCTTGGAGGACCAATTATATGAACCTTAGGTAAAGGTGAACTATTCATGTTAACAAAAGGAACTCCCCGACAGTGAATGTAATCCAGAAAGGAGGTAGAGAAAGAAAAGGCCATCAACGTAATCTATAATCTAAGTGAGACAACCTAAGAAAAAGACAAGGTCAAAAGGTTAATTCTCCTCCATCGTTTGCAATCCACTAGATAGAATGATGATGTTTTTCGAATAGTTGATTAGAAATAAATAACTGAGCATACCCTATGTTTTCACAACCATCAATAACAAAAGAAAAGTCTAACCTAAGGTGTTGCAATTATCAACATATAATTGGTCATCAACTTGCTAGATGCTAGAACTTGCATAGAATATTTCATCGGAGAACGTAAGCAATAAAAATGATGATTGGGAACAACATGATTTAAAATAATCCACTTTTGAGTCATTTAAATCCTTAAGGGCATGCAAATGCAATTATTCATAATCATCAGGAGAATTCTTCTTTCCTTCATCCAAGCTAAGGATGAACATGTCGTTACCATGGTTACCTCTTCCACTGTGAGCTCATTCATGAAGACACCTAGTTTTAGGCATTTTTTCAATCAACTTAGTTTTTAAGGGAATCAAGGAAGGAAACAGCTACAATGATATTGTGGATAGCTAGAGAACAATACTTAGAATACAACTTTTTGGGACAACTAATGTGGAAGATGGTTAACAGATATAAGAATGTCATAATGATCATGAAAGTAAACATATGCATGCCACATTACCATCATAACAAGCTTGTTGATGTGGAGTGCAATATCAATGGGTATCTTATCAAAAGGACATTTATTCTATGATAGATTCTTGATGAATCTCATACATTGGCCCACTTTGAAAGTAATGAAAATAGACTTGAAAGTATACGTTACCCCATGACCATCACTTCTTTCAATAATAAAGAAATTAAAACTCTATGACAAATTATCGTGAATTTTAACATGGAGTTTTACTTCCATGTTGCCATTACAAATGTGGCTTATCATGCCTTCATAGGAAGAAAATTCTTGCACTTATACAACGCCATTCCTTTCCTGCATCATCAATGCATTAAGGTTATTAGAAAGGGAAGGAAATCTTCGTTCTAACCACTAAAACATCATTCAAGCAACATAAGGTGAACTA